TACAAGGGCCACCCAAAAACGTCCATCCATCTTCCTTAAGTTAGAATATCATCAACGGATGTTAGCACCCTACAAAGATGAAAATCTTTCTATCAATATTGGGGCACCATTGACCCTTCTGCATTCAACTCCTACCAGTGTCTATCAGAAATTCTAAGCAATGATAAATTGGCAGTTTGTCTCATGGCACTATATTTTACACACACAAAAAAAAAGTTTGATGCTTTAGGATGCTTTCTATCTGCTGTTTAAGACAACCTTGGAAAGAGACAACCCTTGGAATGAGATGATATATTTGCAAACTCAGCCTCAAAAAAGGGACTGATAACCAAAATATACAGAAAACTCAAGTAGCTTATCCACCCCAAAAATTAATCCATTCAAAAAATGGGCAAATGAGCTGAACAGACAGCTCTCCAAGGAAGACATATGAACAGCCAGAAAACATGAAAAATGTTAAACATTCCTTATCATAAGGGAGATGCAAATTAAAACCACAATGAGATACCAGCGAGCCCCAGTCAAAATGGCTAAGATTAAAAAAAATACTAAGTGTTGGTGAAGCTGCAGTGAAAAGGGAACTCTCATACAATGCTGGAGGAATGCAAATTAGTACAGCCATTATGAAGAACAATTTGGAGGTTCCTCAAAGACCTACAAATAGAACTACCATATTATGATCCAGCAATTCCACTTCCAGGTATCTACCCAAATGACAAGAAAACATTCAGTTGGAAAAACTCTTTCACATCCCTGTTTATTGGAGCATTATTCACAATTGCTAAAACAAGGAATCAACCCAATGCCCAAGAACAGAAGAATGGATTGAAAAAATGTGGCATATATACATTATGGAATACTAATCAGCCATTAAAAAGAAGGGGGACCTTGACATTTGATAGAAAGTAGATGAATATGGAAGACTTAAGTGAAGCAAGCCAGACTATGAAAGAGAGGCACTGTATGTCCTCACTTAATATATACCAAACGTCTGCACTCTATGGCAGAAACTGAAAGATTGGAAGGTATAAAGTATGGAAAGCAGCTGTGGATACTAGAGACAGTGTGGGAGGAGAGTGAGTAATGGCGGGTGATGGGAGGGAGGGAATCAAGAAGGGGGAAGCAAAATATCTAATGGACACAAAAATAGAAAATTATGATGAGGATGATATGAATGGTAATACATTTGACTGAACTAATATACTGTATATTGTATTCATGCTGAGAAAATAATTTTATATGCTTTACAATGATTAAGTGTGAAAAATAAGAAAATTTTAAAATTTAATTATTTTATTTTATTTATCTTTTTTTTTTTTTAATTTGCTACAGAGCAGGCATGTTCACTAGAAAGAGAAAGAGAGAGAGAATTAGAAAGCAAGCTTCCAGGTCCAGGACTCAAACCACAGATAGCCATGTGAGAGTCCAGCACCTTAACCACCACACCACCTGCTAGCCCCAAGAAAAAAAATTTAATAAATAAATATTAAAATTACTCCTTAAATGGGACCAGCAGGTGGCATGGTGGTTAAGACGTTGGACACTCCCACATAGCTGACCACAGTTCGAGTCCTGGACTTGGTGGCTTGCTTTTTCACTTTCCTTCTCCTTCTCTCTGGTCAAATCAAAATAAAATGAATGAATGAATAAAAGTAAATAAATATTTTTTTAATTACTCCTTAAAAAAAAAAAAAAGACAACCCTAGGGCTAGGCAGTAGTGCAGTGGTGACACAACTGGACATACCAGGTATGCCCAAGCCTGTAACCCATGCAGACTGATACTGGGAAAGGATCATGGCATGAAGACCCTGTTGGGAGTGCCTGTCTCTACCTCTCTCCCATGAAAGACATAAATAAAGAACTTTATTTTTAAGGTTTTTGCCATAGGGTGCATGTGCTCACAGGAGAGAGACAGAGAGAGATAGTGAGAAGGAAAGTGAGAAATCACCCTCCAAGGCGGAAGGCCACACCACAATCTCTTCTCTTCCATTCTCCTTTGGGGATTGAGGACATGATGCACACACGCCCAGTGTGATTTTCAGGCTGCCTGGTCTGGGACACAAACCACAGTAGGTAATGTAGGAGTCCAGTGCCTTAACCACTATGCTACCTGCTGGTCCCTAAATAAATAATTTCTAAAACAAAATTTTTTTCAATTTAAGAAAAAAAAAAAAGACAACCCTGGCTGGACCACTAATAAGAGCAGTTTTTTTCAATGCCTACGAAGTCCTAGCCGCTGCCTCAGGACCTACCTCACTGTAGAGTCTGTAAAGTAACAGTAATGTGGCCTATTTTCTAGATAAGGAAATGGAGGTTCTACATAGACACGGAGTTCACCCAAATAAGGCTCAAATTTAGATTCTCACATTTTAGTGATGATAAGCAAAATGGAGCCAGCCCTTCCCAGTCAAGAATTTACTTCTTGTCAGTAAGTCGATTCACAAATTCAGTAGGTAAGTTTGCATTTGTTGGAAGCTACGGGTTTTCTAAGAGACGTCTCGCTTTCTTACAATGTTGATGTAATAATACAGCACATAATTCATGGACTTTCAGAGGTAGCAATAGCTTCCAGCTTATCCATCTTGGGCTTTTTGTTCTTGTTTTACTGTTCTCTGAATAGAGACAGTGTTGTTCTCCATACCCCCTTTTTGAAGACTCTGCTGGCCAACCCCCAACGAAGAGATCACTTGTTAAGATGGTAACAGGTTGGGGTCAGCAGGTGGCATTCGTGGTTAAGGCACTGGACTCCCACATAGCTGACAGCTGTTCAAGTCTCAGACCCAGAGGCTTAAAACTCACACCAGGAGCTTGTGTATGTGTGCCCAAATTCCTCAGAGAAGGGGGTTGCAGCATAGCCATGGATGATTTCTTGCTTTCTGTCTGTCTCTCCTGTGAGCGCACATACCCTATAGCAAAAATTTCTAAAGAAAGAAAAAAAAAATGGTAACTGGTTTAGGAGGGAAAAAGTCCATCTAATGTTCTAAATGCTGTTATAGAAAGTTGTTGTAGGAGGTGAGGTGTGGAATCAGGAAAGAGGCCAAGAAAAAATACTTTCTTTTCACCAGTCATAAAAGGCAAATGTGACTACATAAACCAAGAAAGACAGCACGACTTGAAATAGGATGTGTAATAAATACCCAGCTGAAGATATTTTTGTAAGAAGGAATGTGCCTGAGACTACACCCCAGAGCCCCACGTGAGGATTCCAGGAGTGGGCGGGCCCAGACTTAATCCATCAGCTTTAGGCAGCCCCCACCCTCCAGCTCTGAATGGTTCTGACAGGGATTCATAGGCAAATCTCTCAACTGCGTGTGAGACGTGCAGGCCGATAGAGGCTAATGGATCGGTTTCTGCAGCTGGGAGGGAGAAGCACGTTGAAGGTGCCCCTCAGATCACTGCTGAGTTAACACAAACCAATCTCAGTGCCTGGCAGAAAACCAGGACCTTGCTCCCAGACCTGAATCTCACAGGACAACTAAGCACATGCACATGCATACATACAGTCCCCTGTATTTACATATGTATAAGCATACATGTATATGTGACCAGCCTACATGTGCGTGACCACCTGCAGAGTGCCCTGTAGATAACATTTGTTCTCCCAAAGTCTGAAGCGGGGAGGAAATGGTTGTTTCTGTGTCTGCATTTGGCAAATGGAGGGGGGGGTTTGATTTAAAGAGCTGCATCCCATAACAACAGGTGTTACTGGGACTTGACAAGAAGGGAGAACAAGAGGTCTCCCAGTCGGGGCTTCCCCTCAAACCTTCTGGTCCCGCAGAAGGGGCCTGCCCGTATGTGTGCCTGCTCAGTGCCAGCCCCACCCGGAGGCTCTGCCCACTTCCTCAGCCAGGCCTGGGCGAGAGGCTGCTCATTCAAGCTCCGCAAAGCTCCAGGTGAGCTGTCAACAGCCCGTGGTGGCCATCCTGAGAAACGTGGCAGCAGAGGAGCCTAGCCAGCCACCTGGCACTCGGGTGCCCTCAGATGACCAGAAGCCACCTCCAGAGCTTGCACCTGGATTCCACAGTTACCTCTCGCACCACCCTACTGACCGGGCCTGAGCAAACGCCCACCAGACAGCTCACCCGTGGCCACCCGAAAGATTCTCGGACCAGGTACCTGGAGGGGCAGCATCACCTTTCAGCCATGCCAACTGCCCTTTTCAGAAGTGGCTCCAGGCTAGCTAGGGATGCAGCCCAAGTGAACCCTCTCCAGAGCATTTACGGAGGACGACCGGCCGTGTCTCCGACAGCTGCCCCAGATTTCGAGCACTGGGAGCGTGTGCACACATTGCGCGTGCAAGAAACGCCTAAAGCGTGCAGTCACTCGAACCGGGGGTCACAGCTTGGCTTCCAGGGGCTCTTCTGGCGACCCCCGCACGTGTGCACACGTGAAGTCGCGGGGGCAGTGGGGCGGAAGGAGAGAGGAGCGAGACGTAAAAAAGAGAGGGAATGGAAATACTTTTATCCAGAGAGAAATAAGTAGTAAGAGATGAAAATGTATAGAAAATAAATAAAGAGAAATACATATCTAGAGTGAGAGTGGTGGAAATAGAGAAAAGAAGCAAAAAGGAGGGCCAGGAACATAGGGAGAGAGAAAGCAGAAATTCAGTACATATCTATAGAAAAGAGAGAGAGAGAGGCGCTAGAAGCAGAGGACAGAGGGAGGCAGAAATGGATGCACTGACAGTGAACGCGAGGCACGGAGGGGAAGGACGGAGGTACCCTGCGCAGTCTCGCCGCCCGCACCCCCGGGCAGGGGGCGGGCCGGAGACCAGGCGGAGCGCGCAGGGCCCTCCCCATCCTCCCCAGGCGCGCGCTTTCCGCCGTGGCTCGGGCGCGCTCGCAGTTTCCGGACCGGCTGGGCAGCCACGGCGGCCGGGAGACTACCCGCCCCGCAGAGCTCGCCCGGCGCAGAGGGGCGTCAGCACAAAGCGGCCCCACACAATGGCCCGCCCAGCACGCGGCGCACCCTGCAGCCTGCCCCGCACAGCTGCACTCACATCTGGGCAACGAGGGCCGGTGGTCCACAGGCACCCAGATCTTCTGCACTCTGCTCTGAGTCAGCTCCAAGGGCATCTTCGCAGCTGCACTCGGCGACCCGCCACCCCGGGAGGAGATTCCGAAGCAGGGAGGAGAGTGGCCGCCGGCCCCCGGAACAAAGAAGAGGGGAACGCGTGCGCTCGCGCACTGCCGGGCGCGCCCTGCGCTGTTCGGGAAACGTGCTTTGTGCTAAGTCCTCGACTCTCGGCCGCGTGGGGGCTCGGGAGCGCTGCGAGAGGCGCAGGGCTGGAGCTGCCTGCACCGCCGGCTTGTCGGCTCCAAGGAGCCCAGGGATGCTCGAACGCAATGACAGCCGCACTCCCGCCGCCCAGCCTCCGGCTCGCCTCCTCGCCAGCTCTGCTAGGATGCCGGGCTTATCGCCCGGCCTTTAAGAGTCCGGCCTTCAACGACCAGCACGTCAGCCTCGGGGCGGGCCGCATTCCTTGGGTCCCAGCCCCCTTTCACGTGGAGGGGAGGGTGGTGAGCCAGACGTAGCTGCTGGCGCCCTCTGCGGGCCGGCTACCGCAGTGTGTCCTGCTCCTGCAACCCGCGGCTCTCCTAGAGAGCTCAGCACAGGTCGAATCCTTGTCGCTATCATCCCGCCTCCTGTTAGCCCGTCAGGACGCCGGGCACAGCTTCTCTGAAAAATTCCGGCCCCTCACCTCAACTGTGCAGTGGGGACAACAGCAATGTGGCTAGGTCCAGTGTGGCCCATGGAACCCCATAGGCGAATTCTCTGGGGTGGTGTTTAAAATGCACACTACTGGGGCTCGCGGAAGGTATGGTGGTTGGAGCGCTGGACTCCCACATGGTTGACCTCTCTGTCTGTCTCTGGTCAAATTGAAAAAGAATAATGATAACAAATAAAATTGAATAAAAAGAGCATTCTTTTTAAAATGCATACCACTGCTTTGGCATGCGAGACCTCACGCTGTCCGGGAAAGACACAGTCCAGGTGAAGGCTGAGGCCACAGCTACTCCCTGTAACGCCTGTGAGTCATCCTCGACTGACCTCTGCCACCCCAGGGGAGGGGATTTCGCCGGTCCTTCGCCTCACCCCTCTCCCTTCCCTGAATCCCTTAGATACCTGCGCTGTGCTGAACATTAATTTTCCCCCACCCAGTCCCTGGACCGGGAACCGGCAGCAGCCTACGGAGCGGGGCACAGGGGTGGGTGAGAAGGCCCCAGAGGCGGGACTGAAATAAAATGAGGGGGCTCCTCATTTCATTTCGGGGGGCGTCTTGGGTTTTTGACGCTCACCAAGGACAACATTCAACAAACCTTTTCTCTGAGTAGAATAATAACTAATTCCCAGCCCAACCTGCAACTCATTAACCATCAGCCCCGAAATAATTATTGGGGGTCGCACCTTGATTAGGCAAATCCCTGAAATTCACGCCATTTATCCTGCAAGCCCTGCAGCTTTCCTTCGCCACTTATGGTGTATCCCTGCTCTTTCCTTTCCCGATCCTCGCATGGGCTGGCGACAGTGACAGTTGTATAGTCAGGGCAGTGGCCGTGCGGTTGGAAATTGGGGGTGCTCGTGGCGGGGCACGACGTGGATGTGTCTGTAGCCAGCGAAGCCTCAGCCCCCAACAGCAGCCCTGCCGTGCAGAGCCGCGTGCACTTCGCCCTGAGGCTGGGCTGGGATTGGAGAGAGAAGGCGGCGCTCGCTGCAACCCACACTGCAGTGGAAAAGTCTGCGCAGAGGCCGCCACACGTCGCTCACGTCCCGCATGCTCGACCGGGAGGGCGCCTGCTCCCTGGCGGCTGGCACAGCTGCTCCCTCCCCGCCCAGGCCTCCGCCTCTCTTGCATCCCCGCCCGCCTCGGAGCCACCCCCCGCGCCGCCCTCCCCAGAACCCCTACTCCCCCAGACAACTTTGCTGACTATCTGGTTTCTGCACTCGGGCAGCTGTTCAGAAACGACGCATTGCATTGACTTGTTTTTCTGCAGGGGGAACAAATGCCAGAAGTGACACCCTAGAACGCCCAAGGGACAGCCCTACTCCGCTCCTGAAATAAGAGCGGGCTGACCAGAAGAGGAACACAGCAGCGAGCCAGTCGCCAGCCAGCGCTGGGACGAGTTCCCACCTGGGCCTTACTCGGGTCTGGGAGGGCCGCAGCCTACGTGCAGAGAACCGAGGCTCCCTGCATCTGCTCTCAGGAACCACAGTGCACCTGCGCGCCTGCTGCTCGCCCACCCGAGGTTTTGCACACTCTGACAGGGCCAGGCAAGCGACCAAGTGGCGTTCTCCCACTGCTCCTCCAGACTTGCAAATACTTTGTTGGTTTTAGCTCCTGGGAGCGAGGGCGGGGTCCGCACCGCTGAGACACATCTTTAATCTTATCAGGGTCAGCTCTCAGGGCACGAGGCAATTAAAGTCCCCTGAGGTCCCCGCTAAGCATTCAGAGCCGGCACTTTCTCTGCCTACCAATGCTTGGGCCGCCTGAGCAAAGGCTAAGTTCTTCCCCCAGGCACCTTCCCTACAAGAACTGCAGCAGGCAAACAGAAATAAACTTAATCTGCCCCCCCTTCACTATCTAAGCGCACACTGGGAGTGGTGGTGGACAAGGACATATTCACATTTGGGGGGGTTTTGTTTGTGTTTTAAAATGGCCAGCTGGAATTCCTTGCAAGGTTACAGCCTCAGGTACATTAGGGTAAATTTTATCTCCTGAAAGATAAAATTGCTGCACTACAAAATTGCCTATGATTAACCCAAGTGCAACTGTATTCCAAGTGCTGACTGGCTTAAGGTTTACTGGTTTAGACATCCCTTGTCCTACCAATGGCCCCACATTTACCCCAAACGCTACTCTCCAGAGCATTGTTAATGCCTCCATCCCAATCTGTATCACAAATACAGTCCTTCGGAAAAAGCTCCCAAGGTTAGCACTCCTCCAGTGCAATATTTCTACAGCCAGAACCACTCCAACCTCTAGGGCAGGTATGGGTTCTCCTAGATTCTTGAGTCATTGCCCTAGACCCTTTGAAAGCTACAAGGAAACTTCAGGACAATCCAGTTTTTTTGGTTTTTGTTGTTTGTTAGTTTTTTGGGGGTTTTTTGTTTCTTTGTTTTGTTCTGTTTTGTGTTTTTTTGTTTTGTTTGGTTTGGTTTGGGGTTTTTTTTGCCATAGGGTGTGTGCATTTGCCTGAGAGAGACATGGAGAGAGAAAGTGAAAAATGACCCCAATGAGGAATGGCCACACCACAATCCCTTCTGCTCCAGTCTCCTCTAGGGATTTGGGGCACACGTGCACACGCACCCAGCATGATTTTGAAGCCACCAGGTCCAGGACTCGAACTGTGGTCAGCTATGTAGAAGTCCAGCTGCTTAACAGCTATACCACCTGCTGGCCCTACCCCCTCCCCTTGTTTTATGTGAAGGAGTAAAGGGAGGTTTTGAGATTAGAGATTATCTAAGAACCAGGGTAAAGATGAAGGAAGGAAGCCAGTTGGGAACAGAAATTGGGGGGTGGAGGAGAGAGAGTTCCTTCCATTAGACACAGACAGATAGTACCCCAGGGGACGCATTATAAGCCCACCCTAACCCAGAGTGCTGAAAGAATCCCCAGGTAAAGGAAAATCAAACTGTGATTCGGACTATCTTACCCAGATCAACTGGGCTATTTGGAAGGAAAGAGCAGAGAAAGCCCTTTGTTGTGTAGAATGAAACATTAGCAGGGTGATTATTTAACCTGCTACGTTTAACATTTATGAAGAGCCTACCAGGTGCCTGGTGTGGTGCTTACAAAGGTGAATTCCTTGAGTGGGGGCCAGCCTTAGAGAAAGCATGGGGAAAGTGGTTTCTCCCCAGCACTTTCTTTGGTCCTACTCTCCTCCACTGGCCAGCAGTACCAGCAACAAGCAACTCCATTTCCAGGATCCTCTGCCAACTAGCCAGATACAAATGCTTAAGCCATGCTAGCACCTACCTCCTCCCCAGAGAGGGAATGGAGAGGCAACAAGCTGTGGCAGGCTGAGAAATCAAAGAGTCGCTAACTCGACACAAAGCCTCATTCTCTGCGCCTATGAAAAAGCCATGCATGAGAACAATCTGAGACACCAAATAAAACACTGCAACAAAACTCTTCTATCATCACCCATCCAAAGGCAGGGGAAGGGTGTTTTTTTATTAAAATAAAATATATGTAACTCATACACGAATGGGAACAAAGACAGACTGTCTACACCAGGTCGCACTGGGTGTTTGAAAAACCAATTCATCACTTGAACACAGATGTTTATAGCAACTGTATTAATAATAATGGTCAAAACACAGAAGCAACCAAGATGCCCTTCACTAGGTGAATGGACAAACCGTGGGACATCCTGATAGAAAAAGTTATCCAGCACCAAAAAAAAGAATTGTCAAGTCAAAAAAAGACACAGAAGAGGGACCAGCAGTTAGCGTAATGGCTATGTCACTGGACTCCCATGTAGTTGACTGCGGTTTGCGTCCCGGACCAGGTGGTTTAAAACTCACACAGGATGCGTGTGCATGCGTGCCCAAGATCCCAAGAGGAGAATGGAGGAGAAGGGATTGTGGCGTGGCCATCCCCCCTGGGGGGTGATTTCCTGCTTTCTGTCTCTCTGTCTCTGTCTGTCTGGCTAGCACATGCGCCCTATAGCAAAAACCTCTCAAAAAAAATAAATAAATAAAGACACAGAAGAAACTTAAATGCAATGACTTTGTAAAAGAAGCTAATCTAAAAAGGTTACAAATGCATAGAGTTCTAAGTGCATGACATCCTGGAAAAGGCACAATGCTACAGACAGTTAAAAAACAGAGGGTGCTTGTCAGGCGTTAGGAGAGAGGTAGGGGTAGGATAAAGAGACAAAGCAAGGAGAATATTTAGGGCAGTGGAAATATTCCGTGTGGTACTGTAATGGGGGTACCTGTCATTGCACATTTATCCAAACCCAAGAACATGTAACACCTCTAGTGAATTTTAATGTAAATTGTGGGCTTTAGGTGATAATATGTCACTAGAGGTTCATCAGCTGGACCACTTTGATGTTGATGGGGTGTGGCCATACATGCTTGAGGGCAGGGGGTAAGTGGGAACTCTCTGTATTTGCCCCATAATTTTGCCATGGACCTAAAGGTACTCAAAAAACTAGTCTATTTAAATAAATATTTTAAAAAGTCAGAGCCAGTCTCATAGTCTAGTGGTTAAGGGAACCGGATATTACCTTGCTGACCACAGTTCAAATCTCAGCTCTGGGGACTTGAAAAACACACTGGGATGTGTATGTGTGTAGATGCTCGAAATCCGGACAGGATGGAGAAATGGAAGAGAAGGGATTGCGTGCAGCATGACTGCACCTCACTGGGGGGTATTTTCACTTCTCCCTGTTTTTCTGTCTCCCTGGAGAATGTGTGTACCCTCTGGCAATTAAGAAAAATTATTATGTTTTTCTACAATGTCATATACTTTTTTCCCAATCGAGTGTACTTAAATGTCTCATTACAGGGGGTTGAGGAGGGTCTACAGCCTGGCTCCAGATGAATCAACTCAGATTGTGCAAATACCACCAATTTCTTCACCAGGTTTCAATTTCCTTCTGCCCTATCTGTGGAGAAATGGAAGAGAAGGGATTGTAACCTAAACAGGCCCCATGAAAAGGTGCTTTTTTTTTAT